AAATGGAAAAAAGAATTTCAATTAAATACTTATAAGATCAGTCTTGTTCAAATCTTTTGTTCAAATGGATGACTTCTAAGAGCTCTGTGGCTCCACTTCAGTGTCTAATAGGCACTACTCACTTTGACCCTCAGCAAGCCCTTTATGAATGCTACCCACCCAAGTATACAAAAATGCCAATTCACATAGGGCTCCTAGTGTTATTTTTATTTCTTACTCTGTAAAGCCTGCATTTTGAACATTTTAATATGGTCAAAGCGTCCCAAGTCAGCCTGGATGGCAATTGCTAAAAACACAGGTGATGCTAAAAAAAAAAAAAGAGTTGGCATAATTTCATTCTTTCGCCTTTTTGATTAGAGTATACAAATGTAACTGTCAGCTATCCTGGTAAGGCTATAAGTCGGTCCTCCTGTAAGTAATATAAACTTCTTAATTCAGTCTTTGGATTATAAATCTATCATAACACTGCCAGTGTTTTCATGTTATTAGTGTCTTTATCCTCCTTTACTTCACGCTATGATAGACTTTACCTCTTCCATTGCCTACCGTAATTTGTTGCTGGAACAACAATTGCTAGTAACATGCTGAAGGACAGCGATTATAGGGAAGGATGAGGGACAAGATCCTCATGATACAGTGTGTGTATGTGCACAAGTGTGTGTGAGCACGTGAAGGAATGTGTGTGCGATGTGCGTGCAAATAATATGATAGGTCTGAGGGCAATACTGTAACCTGCTTGAGGTCAAGGATCATGTATTGTTCACTGTTACATCCCTAGTAATTAACACTGTCCCTAGCACATGTTTAGCACATGCACTGTCCCTAGAAAATGTTTAATGAGTGGTGGTTGCATGAATGAATCAAGAGTACTAATTCCCCATGTTCCCAGTGACAACAAGGCTTCCAGTTTTAAAATAAGACTGGAGGTCCATCTACAAAAATCTGCTGTGCATCCAGTTTTAAGGGGTGATTTCCATGTACACAATATTATGCTAGGAGTTGTGAGAAAGGCAAGGAAATTGAATATACAGAACTTGGACTTGAAGAGCTTCCAGTCTATTTGGGGAGACAAGATATATACAAATCAAAACTTCTAATCTTAGCGAGTGAATAATGGCATGCCAAATAAAATTTTTCCTACCAAATACAACCACTACATGAGTTCAGAAAAACAGAGAGGTTGCTAAAGACTGGAGTTGTTAAGGAAAGCTACATAAACAAGGCAAGAATTGAGTTAGACCTTTGAGGATAAAAGATAGACAGGAGGGAAAGGACATAGATGTCCAGGAGGGGGTGGGGGAGAGTACAAATGAGCAGTCATCGAGACAAGAATAGATAGTTTGTGACTTAAAATTTAGGAAGCAGTCAGGGGGCTGGCCCGAGGCTTAGCAGTTAAGTGTGCGCCCTCCGCTACTGGCGGCCCGGGTTCGGATCCCGGCGCGCACCAAGGCACCGTTTGTCCGGCCACGGTGAGGTGGCGTCCCATATACAGCAACTAGAAAGATGTGCAACTATGACATACAACTATCTACTGGGGCTTTGGAGAGAAAAACGGAAAAAAAGCAGGAGGATTGGCAATAGATGTTAGCTTGGGGCAGGTCTTCCTCAGCAAAAAAAGGAGGATTGGCATGGATGTTAGCTCAGGGCTGATCTTCCTCACAAAAAAAAAAAAAAGAAAAAAGAAAAGAAAAAAGAGGAAGCAGTCATCAGACTTGGAAAAAAGAGATGATGATAGAATCATATATAATAAATAAGTAAATAAGCATGTGCAGTTTGTATAGTAATCACTTCATATCTAAACTCCTTGGTGAAAAAAAAAGTAATGTTGAAACTTAGACACATTTTATATGTTGGAAACTTGGGGAAAATAGGTGGGATGTCAGAGGACCACAGCAGCATTCCCAGAGGCTAGTGCATAGCAGGTAGACATGCCTAACTAGGAGGGAGCTGATGCTCTATTATTTCAGAGGGCATGCACAGGTAGAGTGAGGCCTGGATAAGTCTTCAGACAAAGGATTCTGTGTTGAAGGGGCTTATGATTGCAACGTAGATCTGACTTTCCCAAAGTCTTCGGTGACCTGATATACTTTTGTAGCTATTCTTTGATTATACCAATTTTCATTTATTTTATATTCTTAAGGATACAGAAGGGCCAAAACTGTGTGCACAACTATTCTGCAACCATAACTGGATACATAAAGAAAAAGTTTGGAATTCTGACTTTCAGATATTGAAAAAAATTCACACATCGATAAAAATCAAGGATAAGTATTAAGACCCCAAAAGAGAAGCAATAATTTATAGATATTTAAAAATAAATGGGGGTCCTTCTTTTCTAACCACGAGTAGGAACTGATGGAAGAAATCTTTATTAAAGTTAATCATAGCCATGTAGATAAATCATCCATATATTGTGTTTATGTGGGAGAGTGAGGAACAGAGTTAGCAAAATAATTTTTTAAAGCTTTCAATAAATACTTTGAAAGTTACTCACATTCATTAATGGAATATTGATTAAATGAAAAATTCACTCTTGAGAATGTTTCCTAAATAAAGTATATCTATGCATGGATGTGCTATGACGTTTCAATGAACATTAATTATATCCTTTTGATGTCTCTACTGCCTTGTTCTAAAAAGCTAATAAGACCTGCACTACATCATAGTTAATAGGAGTGTGGTGCTTGTTGCTTAGGCAACAGGATGAATAAATGCAGGTCAGAATGTGTTTCAAGAAAAACAAAAGCTAGAATGTGATACCGAGTGGAGACTAAGCAGGTCTCACAGATTTTTTACCACATTAATGAAATCTGTTTTTTAAAGTGGGCTGATTATATTAATAACTTTAACTAAGTTTGTAATTAAATAAATTAGATTATGGAGATCAATAAATAATTTTTATAGAGGTAGAAATTGATTTTTTATGATACTAGTAGCAAATAAATGGTGTATAGCAGCATATAAAGTGATAATTGATGAGACCATTTTATGATTTGCTTCATTTTCATAATTAATTAACTCCTCTAAATGATAATTCAAAGTTTTTTTAAATTAATTCTGTCTTGTGAAGAAAGTATTTGATTGACTCATCTGAATTAACTGTTTTCTTATTTTTTGGAAAATTATATATAATACTTGGAATTGAAAAAATAAAAACAATAGTCTAAGAAGAAAATCAGACCTTGGTTTTGTCACATATGTCCAGGATTTTTGCCACCCAGATACATTTTGAAGTGCCTATACACAATTCATTCATGAATGTTTTTTACAATCTCCAAATGCTTATTTGAAACCTGTTTGATTAACCTTTCAGTTCCAGGCTTTCAAAAAGGGATTATGCTGCTCAAAAGCATTTAACATTCAGAGGAAAATTATGCTGAATTAAAATCTTGCAAAGCAGCCAAATAATCCAGAGACTCCAAAGACCTACCTAACTTTTCACAGGCCCAGAATAAATTTGGACAAGTGTTTCAGGAGTGGGAATGAGAAAGAATAAAGATGTATCAAAATGGGCAACAAATATAAATAACGATGAAAAGACTTTCTGTTTGATAGTGCCTCTAATTCTTAGTGCCATCTGTTTAGTGTCCTAAGTCTGTCCTGATTCTGCTCAATGTCCTAAGACTCTCTTAGCAATTGAAGAAATTTCACTTTTTTCCTATTTCAATACCCACATATCTTGTCTGTCTAATCACTGACAGTACTCTTAAACACAAGAAAAATAACAGTTGCTGCATATCTCATTATAATAAAACAGGTTCATAAAGAGTCCTATGTACACATTTACTTAGAGCTCATATGTCTTACTACATTTATATAGCTTTTTAAAAAAAGCTCATGGGGCATACACATTTTTGGAGAAGAGGCAGAAGTTTAACAATTTGAATAATTTTCAAATCGACGGTAGTGAAGTCAAGCTTGAGGAAAAATAATCTCAAATGGAAATAAAAAGACATGATTAGTCCTCAGTTTTTGTTATCAATTCTGGGATTAATAAGCTTCAGTGTCAGCCCCAGCATTCTATTTAGAAAAAGCTATTAATTATTTCTACAAGCCATTTGTGTGCTACATGCCTATGTTATGTAGCTCTCTCTAAATTTAGGGATCAGTAATATGTGTGATGGGACCTTAAAAGCAAGGAAAGGTAATAAGGACTGTGACGTAGCTTAACAAGGGAAACTGATGAGCACTGGGGGAGGTATGTAAATGATTAGAAAGCTGTATTATAGGTCTGCATATCTCCCCATCCTCCTTCCTCACCTATATTCATGACAGTGAGAAGTTTGCACACACCAGGTTTAGACTGCATGCAGACCAGCATTCAGAAGTACATGAATGCACTTCGTCCATCAGCCTCTCTTTCTAAATATTGACTGTTAATTGATGCAGTGTTTGTTTTCTACCTAAAGTAATAAGCAATACCTCAGTGCTCTTCAATCATCATGTGTAAGTGAATGCCCTCCATAACTGACCATCTGAAGCAGTTTGCTAATGAACTAAAGGTTGTCCACAAAATTTAAACAGCTTATCAAACAATTATCAGGAAAAAAAGTGATCTTCACACCGTAAACATAACACATTGTCTAATCAATCACTAAATGCTGATGCTCAAGTGAAATAATAATGTTTTAGGAACCTAGAATTAACTGAAGAATGCTAGAATCCAAACAGGTATTCTGAGATTACAAATTTATAAAAATCACACAAAGAATGACAGGGAGAATATAAATGTTAATCTTCTGTCACTGTCTATAAATAGTACTCTCACCAGTTCATTCATATAACACATATGTATATGGATGCCTATAGATCTCATTTTTCAGCAAGTGTCTATACGTACACAGTAAGTTCAGTCCTAAGGGCATCCGATTTTCTGATGCAGTTACATATATAAAATTGACCGGTTTTGGTGCAAATCAGGCTGCTTCTGAGCCGTGTTAAGACACATAAGAAGCAAAGACAGACAAAAGGCAGCTCCGTGGACACAGAGAGCGTCTTACCATAAACTGCACATTGTCAAATCCATTAGCCATCAGGTGGTTCTCGTACTGAGGTAGCCCAATGCTTTCCAACCATTGTCCCACTGTTTGGACAGGGCATCTGGGTCCTGTAAGAGGATGAAGAGGGAAGCGTTTAAGCAGGGAGTAGCCGTCCACGGGGTAATAGCGGTAGTCCTGGGCTGAGAGGTGGCATTGCCACATCATGCTCCTGGGAAAGTTGCTATCAAAGGAGCCCGCCAGCTTGACAGATTAATGTTCTCAGCGAGAGAGCAAAGTCAGAAGTAAAACATAGTTTGCCAGGCAGGCTGTGGAGTATGACTTGATCCTAGCTCCACATTTCTTACATATTAATCTTTACTACCGACCAGTACGTCATACAGTCCCCAAAACCAGGCAGCAGAAGAAGGCATATCAAGCTGTCAGCTTAGGCTGCTCTGCGTTCTGTGATTGTTGGAGTACTCCACAATGAGCAGTGCACGGCCGGCAGCCAGAATTCTTTTTATCAAGTACTCCTACACTCATCAGTATGCAGCTCCATGCTCCTGGCTCCCCCTCGCTCGCTCCCCTTCATTACCCAGCCCAGGCTACACCTCGCATTTTCAATAATAGCCATCAGATAAGACAGATTTTTTTTGTCTGCAAGCTGTAAGCCTGCTGCTGCTGCTTCCTCCTACACACCCATCCAAGCGTCAATCTTGAATGATGAGAGCAGTCAAAACAAATGCAGAAAATAGCAAGATTCAAAAGCAAACCAAAGTGCTTAAATCTGAATTGAATCCTCATACTGGTTATACGTTACAGAGCTATTTGTTGTGGAAGTTTACGTTTCAAAAGACACCAGGAAATGCAAAGCTTTAACTATAGCTTACAGCGGAGCTCACTACAGGTTCCCTTTTTCCTTTTTCCTTTCTTCTTCTTTTTTAAATGCAGCACAGATAAATGTTTCTGATCTAAAGCTTTACAGTGTTTGGAGAATAATTTCTCTCTTTCTTTACCATGCTGTATCAAAATGAACCTCGCTGAGATATTTGTTTCCTTTTTGAATTACTGCAAAATACAGAAACTGCATGGCAATATTGGAGTCAAGATAATTCATTTCTCGTTTGCAGGGCTTCCTCCAAACAAAAATATTATTAGGTACAAGAAATCCTTTTCCCCTCTGATATTTGTAACCCAGTCTACCAGGGTTACCATTCTAAATTAGCTATAAAGGTAACATTATTGGGTAGAATTTTTTAATAAAGAAGAAAAGCCCTAACCAAAAATAATTCAAGAATAACAGATGTAAATGTGTGAGTTTTACTGAATGGCAGACAGATTGAGTAATTTATTTAATAATTGAGAGAACTCAGAAATTAATAATAGAACCCATAGGACGAGATCATTAGGAAGACGAGACTCTTAAGACCGGGAGAGAACTTGCAGAAATGTTAGTCTAACCTCCCTCTTACCACAGGACTCTCTTGTCACAGCGTTCCAGGAAGAATATCATCCAACTTATGCTTGAATACTGCCTGTAACAGAGCTCTTACTACTTATCAAGAAGCCTCCATTTACTAGAAAGCTACTTTACTTCCTATCTGACTCCTCCTCACTGGCTCCAGCTCTGCCTTTGGAGTCACACAGATTGGGAACAGCGCCTTTTTCACATCAAGTGTTTTAAAAATTAAAGATAACTCTCATCCCCCCAGAACAGTGCCTGGCACATAGGAAGTGCTCAATAAATAATTATTGAATAAATGAAACATCATCTTTCCTCTTTCCCCCAATCTTATCTTTTTCTGTTCCCTTTCTCTTTTTAAGAACATTGTTAACCTCCCTGGCACACAGACACTAAACCTCAAAACGTCTTGTACTCCCTCTTTCTCTGCGGACAGCATTCCTAAGTTCTGGTCAGCCCTCGTCAGAGTGTCTCTGGCATCCATTCCCCTGATTCTATTCCTGTTTCATGTTTATGGAACTGCCATCTACTTTGATTCTGCTCTCTTCATTCAGGCTCACCTGGCCTAATGCAACAATGACCTCTATATCAGACTTCCTACCTCTGATATCTTTTAAGTCTGTTTTATACGTGGATGTCAGAACAATCTCTCTAAGACATAGTTTTGATTATTGCTCCCTTTTTCAAAACCCTTCCATAGTTTTCAATTGGCTTCAAAATAAATTCCCAACTCCTTTGATGACATTTTGAGGTCCACATGATCTACTACAAATCATCTAACTTTATTTCCCTTTCCCCAGTGCTCCGGTCAGCTGTTCTCTAAAGGCAGTCTGTAAGGTACTTGGGTTGGTTTTATGATGTCCCCACATTTTTGAGTTTTGTTGGATTTGAATCAGATGACATTTTCTTTATGAAAGCTTTTCTAATCCTCCCTAACAGCAATTATCTGTCTTAAGTGGCATTTTTAGACACTCTATTATAACAAATACTTTCTGTCTAACATTGTAGTTATTTATGTACAAGACTTATTTCTTGAATATAGGAATATGTCTTGCTAATATTGCACATAGTAAGGATTCAGTATGCACCTGCCAAACCAAACACAATCATATGTCGCATAACATTTCGGTCAACGATGGACTGCATATACGATGATGGTCCCACAAGATTAGTACCAGATAGCCTAGGCCTGTAATAGGCTATACTATTTAGGCTTGTGTAAGTACACTCTATGATGTTTGCACAATGATGAAATCGCCTAACAATGCATTTCTCAGAACGTATCCCCATCATGTGGCAACACACGGCTTTAACGTAATTTACATTTCACAATCCAAACTACGTAAAATCCTCCTAGTTTCAGATTTAAAATTTTTTTTTTAAACTCTATCCAAATCTCTAAATGTTTTATTTAAAAGAAGATTGCTGAGCTTTAAAATAGAATTGCCAAGTCTCGATTTTTGTTTATCATCCTCATCCTCTTTTTTACTTAATTATAATTTATCCTTGATTGGTTCTAGATCTTTTGAGAAGGTCAAAAAGTTTGTACCAGTTTAGGAATCAATTTTAAGGCATTGTGTTTGCTCAACATTTCTTATTCGAGAAGTTGAAAACAAGACGCTATTTGTCCTTGGCCAGATCCAAAGCTGGTACGGATTTGGAGCTAAAGGTAAGTTTCAATTACAGCCTCTCCTAGGTCACATCCACATTGTTCCTCCTGATCATTTTAAGCTATGAGTAGCTGGATAAGCTATACAAAGATTAAGCAAGGGCCAGCCCCGTGGCTTAGCGGTTAAGTGTGTGTGCTCCGCTACTGGCGGCCCGGGTTCTGATCCTGGGCGTGCACTGACACACTGCTTCTCCGGCCATGCTGAGGCCACGTCCCACATACAGCAACTAGAAGGATGTGCAACTATGACATACAACTATCTACTGGGGCTTTGGGGAAAAAAAAGGAGGAAGATTGGCAATAGATGTTAGCTCAGAGCCGGTCTTCCTCAGCAAAAAGAGGAGGATTAGTGTGGATGTTAGGTCAGGGCTGATCTTCTTCACACATACAAAAAACGATTAAGCAAACACAGCAATAATGTTTTGGCTTGGTAAGACACATGCTGACTGGCCAACTCCTCAAATCCCATCTCATCTCTTAAGAGGTACATCAGGAACCAAGTACCTAGAAGAGTGCCACACACATCTTAGGCATTAAAGCATCTCTGTTGAATGAATGAATGACACTGAAAACGGCTTTCATGGGATTTTCATTTCTTAATAAATAGAAAGACAAAGAGAGAGAGAGAGTTATTTCAAGGTCCAGATTGCTGTACGAAAACATAGCTCAGAGAAAATACTAGTTACTAATCACTTGGCAAATCTTTATATAGATTGATTGAATTTTATCCTTTTAACTATTCTTCAATTTCCACTCAGTAATTCTCATATGTTGGCGAAAGGTTATAATGCAGGAGGGAAGTGAGGTGGAAGAAAGTGGGGTAGAAGGAGGTTGCAAGAGAGAAGGAGCAAGGAGAAAGACACTTTGAGTCATGCTGTTTGTGGTTTTGTTAAAGTATTTTCTCATGAGCCAAACCTCTAAAAGAACCCTGGTTTGGGTCTGAAGATCACTTTTATATAGTGTTGTATATTTCTCACTTTACTTGAAATGCTTTCTTGGAATCTTAAAATTCTTAAAGCATAACAACACGTTATTGGGCAGGCACTTTTATTCAACTAGAACTTCTCTAAGTCCCAAAAGTGAGATAAGAGGAGGAAAAGAAGAAATTAACAGTTATTCAGGGCTAGTATGTCCTAGGGAGTATGGTGTGGATTATTAGCGCCATTTCAGATCAGGTAACTGAAGCTTGGATTGTTTGTTGAAACCAGGAATTTTCTTTGGTGCAATCTTTTAAAAAAATAATTATGGAGGTTCCACTTCTAGAGTAGCAATGTGAGGAGCTCTATGGACCATATCTCCAGCAAAACACACGTAACTGGTGAAAACTGTATAAAAAACAAAACAACCATTTAAAGTCTCTGGAAATTGTCCTAAGAACATACAGAGGATGAAAAAATATTTATTCAAGAAAATCTACTAAAACTCGGTACGAACAGAGAGAGTCTGTGGCACTTGAGCCATAACATCTTCCCTCCCTCCTCTCATTCCCCAGCTGAGCTTGAAAGAAGCTCCATTCTGGGTGGGTGGGCCCAAGAGGATGGGGCTCCGTCTCTCCTTAGCTACCATCCAAGGAATATGGTATTGTATCAAAAGGGGCAGGACAGCAGCACTTCTAATTTCCTCTAACTCTAAGTTGCAGAGGTTAAATTTCTGGTGAGTGTGGCTGAGAGGTCATGGGCTCTCTTTGTCCATCCAGCCCCCATTCATAAAATGGAGGCTCTACCTGTTGCAGCAGGATGAGAATAGTGAGGTCCTGATCACCCTTATTCCAGCTTGCTCATGGAGCTAAGGTTCCATGCCCAGACAGAAGGGCAAGGTGAGAAGATGAGAAGACCAGAGGCTACCATCCTTGCTCAGTGCCCAGAACAGTGGCTCAAAGATTCTGCCAAAGGGGAGGGTCAGTTATAAGTACAGAGAGCTCTAAAGCTCTATCTCAAGGAATTGACTTTGTTTGAAATAGAGTCTGAGGAAGTTCAAGCCTAAGGGTATTATTAAAAACAATGGAGGTTTTTGTGGAAAGCAATTAAAAGGAGACTAGTAGCTCTATTAGGACAACAAGCTAAACGGTAGGCCAGCTAGTTTTAGATAACAGTGAAAAGAGACAGTTAAGAAATGCCCTCCTGGGGTCAAAACAAATGTCAAAGACTGACCTCAAAAACTACTCCTGCCTAAATTTAATTGGACCAGGCTCTGGAGCAACTCCTATCTCAAAGAATTGTCAAAAACAAGAGCGCAATCAGCTGCCGATTAGATTAGTGGAGCCTAATATGTGGGTGTGATACCAAATGAGGCAGAGAACTTAACAGAGTGATTAGGGAAAGAGACAAAGAAAACTCAACTATAACCACTATCATCCCAGGATGACTATGCACATGGGCAAGGCTGTACCCTTGACTGGATAAATACCATGTAACATATCCATAAAATGGCAT